AATCCCACCCCTCCTGCTGACGTTTCCAAAACTACCAGGTATAAAAGTAGATGACAGAATTTTAAACAGAACATGAGTTATGATTTATTTGATTTTGTATTCCATAACAATAACTTTTTTGCGAAATTTTGATTGTCGAAGCCAAGAAAGTATCATTCATTGTCATATTGAAAACAAAACCTCATTAAAATTAACTTTCAACGCACTTTAAAACAAGCCTACTACAAAACTAGTTTCGTCCACAGACTTCTTCAGTTGTATGCGATGTTTCGTTTCGTTTCGTTGTTTCGTAGTAGGCGTGTTTTAGAGTGGGTTGAAAGTTAATTTTAATGAGGTTTTGTTTTCAATCTAACAATAGCTTTGTAAACAAAAATCCCTGATATAGCTCTGGTCAGGGGAACACATTGGTAATAGCAATGCAAGTATGAATGCATTCAAACCAAACCAAACACTTTATTTCCCTATCCCTCATTTTTTTTTTAACAAAAAAACCTGGTTCAACCCTGGTCTGGGGAACATACAATCCTTGAAAAAAGTATTACCACACTTAACTTAAGATAAAAAGTGGTTGTCTTGACCACCCCCTTCCCACCCCAAAACATTACTAATTTTTATTCTTGCAACAATGCCATAAGTTCTGGAGCAGAGGGGGCTCGGGAATTAAACTTCACAGATCGACAGGATTTGTCACTAGGCACTATTTTGTTAAGTGTGCTAAGGACATTGTCTAGGATTGTTGGTAATAACAATATTAATATGTGGGTATAGAGAGATAACCGAGCCCTAACCCTAACACCTTCGCCGAAAAATCCCGCCAAAAAGTCCTAACTCGAAAGTCTTAACTCGAAATTCCAACTCGAAAATCCACCTCGAAAATCCAACTCGAAATCCTAACTCGGTAAATAGGCAACCTCCGTCTCGCATATTTTACGCTACTCTAACTTTAGATGCAGATATCTAGACAACCAATCAGAATATCGGAAAAGCCCATCAAAATCACGTTGACTGATGCGTTGAATAAGACTGTGCAGCCATTTTGCTCGTGTTGCAGGATCCGATACCCGATAAATTCAATAGAAGGCCACCCGGTCGTTTCACGCCTTTTCGGCTCCTAACACTCCCTAAATAAAAATTTAACCTAAATTATAGTTTTATCGTGAACTGCATTTAATAAGCTTTCTTTTGATGTATAGTTTCTTAGGGTTTTCTTGAAACTAGCGCGCGTACGAGTTTTTTTTTTCCCGAAGAACACCCTCGAACATGGGAAGTAACCTTTAATTGAAACGAACTTTATCTAGACCGTACTTTCCTTTTTAAGTGACTGGCTGACTAATTGATGGATCGATCTATTTTGAAATAGTCGCGTGATCAATCCCGCCCATTCCGTAGAAGTGGTATGATTGTTAATCACATGCAAACCACATTTTGCACTATTGATATGGTACCATATCAACATGGTCTTCACGCTCTCACAATAAAATTTGAAGTTAGGTTAGCGATTAATTAACATATTTTGTAATAAAAAAATAAAAAAAAAAAAAACCTTGAGTGAAAGAAACTGGATAAGTTCTGGGTGTTAACTTGCATTCATAGCCCAAAACAGAAGCAGAATTAATTAATCATTCACAATTCAAAGCCCAAAACACAAGCAAACTATTGATAAATCATGACAAAAAGTGTCACGCAACTCTGGTTATACAATGTTCATATCATAACACAGGAAGAAGAAAGGTTCGCCCACTCAGATGATGTGCTCCTGTCTACAGTGTATTCTCAATTCTGTCTGGTTCTGGGTGCATAAAGGAAGCTAGCATATGGTTAAAAAACATAGTAGAGCGCTAACTTAATCGGCCACGGTGCGAGTATTCGGTTCGAATAATACGATCGAGGTGCAACATTTTGATCAGTCTCGCGTGGTTCCCGACAAGGACGCTTTCATTTCAAGAGAGAGTTTTCCTCTTGGACTTAAGCTCTCGGTTTTCAAGGGTACATGTCTTATCATTAGGGTTTCAGCGTACCTCTTAAAGTAGTAATCATTTGAATGATTTGAATACTAATGAAACAGTTGTCGTTGTTTCGCACGGGTTTAAATGCAATCACTTTTGTGAACATTTCATTATTTGGTTAACACTTTTGGTTAACGTTTAGTTTTTGGGTAACACTTTTTCGATATTTCAGAGGGGCGAAACGAGTAACAAATCCTTTACGGCAAGATTTCCGAACAACCCCACAGTTCACCGCGTGACTTAGTTTCTGTGTTGAAAGAAAACTAAAACGGAAACGGTAGACGCTCATTGATAAAAGCAACGTGATGAACAGTCATGGCAAACTCGTCAGATATGAGAAGTTACATTACTTACCGACCTCCTCTTTTATTATTGTGTAGTTTGACTATTTCCGACGCGAGGCTTGCAACTCTTTCTCTTAACACATCACAAGTTGTACGTGCCGCTCTTTGCGCAAGTTCTCACCTGACAAACGACCTTCACATCACAGGTATCTCCCCTGAGGGCCCCTGACTCCAGAAAGTTTCGAGCCCGCATTTTCTCAGCGTTGTGTGAAATCCCTAAAAAGCGACTGCAAAGGAAACAATGTAAGCGACGAATACAATCTTGTGTCGAAAACGTCAAGTTGGGAAGATGAGAAATATTTAAAGTAGGTTACTTCTTCGTGTCAAGCGATCAAACAGTCTTCTTAAAAACATAGTCTTCTTAAAAAACATAGTGGACATTTTAAAACGACACGGATCACAGTTGTCAACAAAATCTTTAGCCCAAAGGCGTTTGATTAGAGCTCTTGCCCCTTAAGCAATGATCTGCTAAAATTAATCGTTGTAAGAAAAGAGGAAACGGGCGTCTTTTGGGCTCACAAAGATTGATCGAGTATGTCAGTCTTCGCATCAAGAAAAATAGCTGTACTGGGATAGTTACTTTAAATACAAACTTTAAATACAAACTAGATACAAACTTTAAATTCTCATTTCTCATTTTATGAATATCGTAGGTGACACTTGTTCTAGATCGTTCGGTAAAATTCATACAGGCAAGAATTTTCTTTGGTTTCTGCTTGCATACCACTGCATGTTACGTATGTGAGTGTTCGAGGCAATAATTAAAAGGACCGAAGAACCCCCCGAGGAATTTCGATCGTTCGCCTGTGCTTTGTCTTAACTTCTCAAGGGAGCCGCCATCAAATTTTGGGGTAAAAACTAGTTGCCTATTTGCTTTAGAAACCGACAACAGTTCAGTCCATAAATCTTCTTTCGCTTCAGAGCACTTTATTTAACTCAGCTAAAAACAGGCAAACCAAAATAAATACTTTATATGATTTACTTTGCTCTGGAGCAAACTATATACATATGCATCGTTAGTCTGAGTTTACATAATTTAGAATAGATTTAAAAGAAAAGCTCGCTTAGCTTCATTGGGTAAGCAAGAATATATTAAATGGATATGAAACACACACTTTCGAGAAGAAATTGCAAATTTATAGCCAGACGCAAAATCAAGTTCAGTTCAATCTGTGAATTTGTTTGTATATTCATTCTTGGCTGACGACTACAAAAGCTCGAAACAAGCAAGGTTCTCTCTCCCTTTTGATCGTTCCACGAATATTCCATGCGACAGAGAACTTGTTCTATCGAATCGCTGAGGATGACATCATGTACACTATCGCAACACATCTGTACGTCACGTTTTGTGGGCGAAACGTCATATGTAACCATAAGTCATTTCGTCTTGCAGTCTGGCCACTACGTCGAGATCAAAGGTACCGGCCTGGAGAATAGAGGATCAGACAGATATATTTTCATTTATTTTTTCTGGCAGAGTGCGTTGCCACAGCGAATTAGACATGGTGGACAAAAGGTATCATGATTTTGGGAAGTATAAGATACGCCTTTGTTCTACGTTTAATATGAAAAAAAAAAAATGATATTCACTGGCCATAGCAATAAAGGAAATTTTCAAGCGGGGATAGCAACTCTATATAATCCTAACTATATAACTTAAGGTCCATGGGAAATTATATGGGGCGCTCTACTGATACAGGCAGTTTAACTGTAAAACCTCTCTTTCCACACTGCTCTTTGGTTGATTATTTTTGTTAACACTATGCCTTTTATTTTTTAACTAGAGCGAATTTAGATTGCTTGTCATCAAACCAACAACGGTTATAACGAAGAATGGAAAAAGTCACAAAGAGTCAACGAACGTTTGTTGAATTTTTCATAGCCTTTAGTAAGCGGTTTGCTGGATCACAATTAATCGCATAGCGAAGTATAGCAAAACCAAAGCCATTAATCCCGCCACTGAGTTGTAAATTGTTCTAGAGCAATGTCGAAAGTAACGCGGAGCTGCTTTGTTTTAGCTTTTCTTTACTCTGTGATTGGTCTGGAAAATTCACACCACTCTCTCAACCAATTAGATTCAAAAATAAAATAAATCACGATTTGGTCGCCCGCGTTTTCGCGCGCTTTAGGCGGTTTCCTCGGATTTACTGTGTTCTCATTGGTCCTTTGAGGTATTTCCTTTCTTCCGATTGGCTGTCGTCATTACTTTGGTTTTGTTTAAATAACAACATTCAATCGCAATGCGCTCTGTCAAACTTACCCTGCTATACCATCTCTTTGCTTGCTCTCTATTTTGCTCTACTCCCCAGCCGTGATGTAAACAACGTGCAAAAACAAAACATCCTAAAGCGATTCCTTTAGCCACGTAGCGTGGTAGACAATCCGTCTCAAGAGCAAGACCTTCGATGTCCTCTTGCTCTCCAACACTGCATGATGAGGATTTGTAAGCAAAAAAACAAACACAAAAAAAGACAGACAAAGTGAGCTAATGTTGACATGAGGATAACACTAGACTTTCCCGCCCTTCAGAGCAATTTTTTTTCTTGAATTCGCTCTAACCCCAAAAATTACAGTACTACAGTTGCTAGTAGCAAAGACATTAACATAAAATAACAATGATATGTACATGACACCTTTTTGCTACATCTGCAGCCTTATTCAACAGTTTTCTCCTGTAATAATGAACAGCCAAGTTTCCTTGGGCATAAACATTGCCTCTGGTTGCTGCCTCTTTAAGACACTTGAAAGCTGCTTCTCCGTCTCGCCGCAAACCAATACCATATTCATACATTACCCCCAATGCACCTGATGGTATCAGGAAAGAAGTATTATATTACATACAAGCACACAAAATACTCTAAATTCTTGTGATTTCACAAAACATGGATTATCAAAGTGGTTGCAATGAAATTAATACATTTTAATCAAACATTGTATGTACCTTGTGACTCCAGGCTCCCATTACCTGTGGCTTCTTGATGCCAAAAGTAAGCCTAAAGAAATATACAATGAGAGGAAATGAAAATTCCTAGTTTAATTTGATGTCTTAAAGATAAAAAGCCAGAATAAGACAAAGGCAGGGCTTAATTTTTGGACTAACCCATCTTCTGGTTTATAACATTAAAAAATAACTCTGCTGTAAGCAGTGGCTATTGCCTGTTTTAGGCCAGTGGTTAAGTTGGTAAAAGTGAGCATGACAGTAAAACAGAGCTTGATAGTAAAGTAGAGCATGATAGTATAATGGAACTTGATATCAAAACAGAGCTTGATACCAAATGGCTCAAAAGTTGCAGGAGGGTGAAAAAAGAGGGATGTTTGGGTCTGGTCAGGTTCATCAAGCATTTACCAAGCCAAGAAGTGGCGAGGTAAATATCCACCACTTTCATCTGAGGCGAATAATTGTCTTGATTAGTACATGTATATACCACACACTGATACCAAAAAATCAAGTTTATTTCTGTCAATATAACAAAAAATGGTTGGAAATTTAACTCTTGGCACGCAATTTTGTCTTTTGGCTGCACAGAGGTGAATAACACTTGTTATTGACCTCCGAACTAGCCAATCAGAGCATGAAAGTATTATTTACTTGTGTGGTGTATACTAATACTACATATGCAACATTTACTATAATTTATGTACTATATAATTATATAATTATATACTATAATAATTGTACCCTGTTTTACTATAAAATGAACCCTTGCAACAGGTTGGTGGTGGCTTAAATGCTGTCCAGTTTTAAGATACGTTAACAACTGCTAACAAACCTTCTGTAAATCAAAAGAGTCTTCACCAGGTCTGGAGTAGAACAAACCCAAAACTGTTTGTGCCTTGATGCTGCCTGTTGGTTCACCATCTCTCGCTGCCTCAAGAAACCATCTCTCTGCTTCCAGATCAGACTGTTTGACACCAAACCCTTCATAATAAGCTCTTCCCACATTATACTGGGCAAAAGGTATGAGGTGAGCTGCATCAGGACTTTTGGACTGTGCAATTTCTTTGAGGAAGTGAAATCCTTTTTCCTGATCGATGCATGGAAAAAAGTAAAATAGATGAAAATACTTCAAGAAATAACTCTTTCACACTAAAGATTTGATTTTTAATTCTCCCATCTAGCTGCCACACATCTCCTTCTAAACCAGTTACAAGAATTTAGTGTTAAATCAATATGACGACTTCTACCTGTTTGAGTATTCTCATTACCTGTTTGCTAGGTAATGAATGGGCAATTTATAGGGAGAAGTTACACATCAATCAATCACTAATTACCTCTTGGATTTCAATGGTTAAGGAGGGTTTACACAAAAAAAAAACCTACACTAGCTGAGGTTACACTGAGATGAAAAGTTGATTTTTTTAACATGTTTACAAATTCTTCTGTTCTTGCCTTGGCCCAAGACATGGGGGAGCAGGGTTGGCGTAGTGGTGAGAGCACTCGCCTTCCACCAATGTGTCCCGGGTTCGATTCCTGGACCTGGTGTCATAAGTGGATTGAGTTTGTTGGTTTTCTACTCTGCTCCGAGAGGTTTTTCTCCGGGTACTCCGGTTTTCCCCTCTCCTCAAAAACCATCATCATTTGAATTTATTTAATTTAGAGTTTATTCGCATTTACTCACAACCCCACAAGTTGTTCAGCTTTAAACATTATCGTGTCTAAATAAAGATGTTATTGTTATTATTATTATTATTATTATTATTATTATTATTATTATTATTATTATTAAGTCGACCATCATGAGCTACAGTGTACCAAACATTTCTTATAAAGTCCAAGATGGCATTATGTCATCTTACACGGACAAGAAATGTTTGCAACACTATTTCTAGTTAACTGTAAGGTAATTCCATTCCTTAAACAAAATTTTGATAACATAGCCGGTGCGTAAGTTCTACCTAATTCTTTATTAGTCACTAATAATGGTGTATAATTATATACCCACGGCTGTGCGTACATGACATGACTTCTGTGTTTAATAAACAAAAACAAAGAGCAAAAAATCACAGCGGCCAGACGATAGCAAGTAAAAGAATGGTCCTCGAAAAAGCCCAAATTAGCCAGAGATTTGTTTCATATTATAAACATCCTGAGTTTCAATCCAATCATGTAAACAATCATTACGATCCAATTGTTACGATCAACCTTAATTAGCTCTAGTTTCGAATCAATTCAAACCTTACCGGGTTCGCCTTCGTCCCAATGCCATCATAGTACATAACTCCAAGTTGTTATTTTGCTTGAAAATCAGTGCTCTTGATTCTTTCAAAGGAAATCAAAGCTTTATCATAGATTTCCCGCTCGAAGTAGAACTGCCCGAGTTGAAATTTTGCAAGACTCTCTCCTTCTTTTGCACGCTCGATCAAAATCTCTTCTAGAAGTTCATCTGGCATTTCTTCTTCACCTCCTTCTTCCATTGCACCCATTGAGAATGGTCTTGTGCCTGGGAGTTTTTCAGCGCTTAGTTTACGGTCGCTGAGGGGTCCAACTGGACAAGAGAAAGGCCGTCTATTGACCTCTTCGTCCGCCATCTTGGACGTCAACTGAGCAATCATCGTTGCTATAGTGACAATTGAAACGCATTTCTGTAAAAGGAGGGGAGAGGAGGGTTGGACTGTAGTTGATCTGCCGCAATGCAATCTGGGATGACTCAGGTTCAATATGGCGGCGAATTTGAAGTTACAAGATGAAAGGGCAGCAAGACCTCTTAACAACGATAAAAGCTACGATCTCTCCATTATGCATTTACCGAACTTACCTAAGAGTCTGGTGTATGGAGTAATTGCTTTTACTTCAGTAGCTTGTTATCTGAACAGCTTGGATTACGACTTAGTACATGATGACATTTTTGCGATCAAGGAAAACATGGACATTCGCTCTGAAGCTCCGCTGGCAAACATATTCTCCAATGACTTCTGGGGCAAGCCAATGTGGAGTAATACAAGTCATAAGTCATACAGACCGCTGTGTGTCTTAACATTTCGAATGAACTTCGCGATACATGGGTTAAAACCGTTTGGATATCATGCTGTTAATGTTGTTCTTCATGGATTGGTTTGCTTGTTGTATACTTATATGTGCAACGTGGTGGCCTTCAAGTCCAGTGCACTTGCATTTATCGCAGGAATTCTGTTTGCAACGCATCCTGTTCATACAGAAGCTGTAAGTTCAGGACCTACCACTCTTTAATAATCCTCCAATTCCCAAGACTTAATTGTTAATTCCCTCCTCTAGCTGCTACACATCCCCTCTTTAATTGATTAGTCACGAGAATTTGGTGTTGAATCTAGATAACAACCTCTACCTGACTATTTTTAAACACTATCATTACCTGTTTCCTGGATAAAGTATGGATATTATAGGGAAAAGTTACATGTTAATCCCTCCTGGGAATTTAAGGGTTTATGAGTGAAACCAGTGTACATGTAAGCTTACACGTGCACAGTTTTGCAACATTGAAGCTTTTCGTTGATGAATTTATCAGCTGTTATGCAAGAATATCACATTATTCCTGAATGTTTGATACTTATTTATTTATCATCATAGGTCTGTATGAATAATCTGTGAGGGCTTGTGTGAAATAGCTGGTCCAGTTCAGAAAATTTGCAACCCTCCCTTTCCTCCCTCAGAACCATGTTTAAGAGGGAGAGGGGTGGGGAAGGGGCTATGTTTAATCATTGGGTGGATTATGGTATTCTGACTGTCTTATTTTCCCTTGTTGTATCCCAGAATTCCTTTATGTCTTCGGGGGCTGGGGGCTTGTATTGAGATATTGAAAAATGGAGTGGTCTCAAATTTTTGGATAATGACCATGCCCACTTCCTTTGATAAAGTCCAAAAATTCCCTAAACTGCCACATATATCAATTTGAAAAGGGAATTCAAGAGCCAACAAAAGCTATTTTCAATTGATAAAAGAATATCCATTGAAAAATCATGAATCATTTAATTTTTTTGTGATTATGATGGTGCATTAATAATATGTGATTGCATATTGAGAGGGTCAGTTCAAATGGTGAATGAAATGAACAATTTTGCTTGTCATTGGTGCTGTGAAGTATTTTAGTGCCATTACATTGAACCCTCTTCTTCAAAACAATAAACTGTCAACAATAGTAAAACAAAAAGGCCTGCCAGCTTGTACGTACTAATGAGGCCGATTTGTCAAACTTATGCGCACTTGTGCAAATTTTGACGCACAGATTTTTTTTATTTGCACTTGCATGCAATTTTTGGTGTGCTTTATGTGCATTGTTTGGTTAACGTATGCTTATAATAGAATGAAACATTAGGCCCATTTCAAGTTTCTGTTATTTTCATGAAATTTATCAATATGTTATCTCCTCAGGTAACGGGAGTCGTAGGACGTGCTGATGTAATGGCATGTTTGCTCTTTCTGCTTGCATTCCTTGCATTTGTAAGGTGAATTTCATTTTTCAAAGTCTTTGCGATGTATGTAACATTTCAATCACCTCAATTTCTGAGTTGTCTGTTTTTAATTTTTATCATTGTATAGGTCTGAACAAAGCAAAGGCTGTAGCCAGATAATGTGCACAATTACTTGTGTGGTTCTTGGTGCCATGGCAATGCTAGTAAAGGAGCATGGTATAACTGTGTTTGGTGTGTGCTTTGTTTATGATTGTATGGTTGTTAACAAGAATTTAACTTGGAGGTAAGTGACATCCTGATCATGTTGTTATCCCAGATTCTTTTTTATTCTGTTCTGACCTGTTTTTGCTTTTTTGTAAAAAATACACATCATTGCTAGCATAAATTGTGTAAAACAGTGGAACTTCTGTGAACTGTTCCATTACTTTCCAAGTGTCGAAAAAAAAAAGTCTAAGATTACAAGAAGTTGTAGTTACAGTGCAGGTGACATTAAATCACTGAAAAATCCTAAGTGGTAAATTTTAGCCTCATGTCAAGAGGAGATGGCGTGGCCGAGTTGTTAGGGTGCTGGAATTGTAATCCAGTGTCGCGGGTTCAAGTCCTCCACCCTGCCACTCACTGGATTTGTTCTCGGTTGCCCCTAGTTCAACTCCTCAGCTGCGCTCTGTAAATAGCGCACTGGTCTGCCTCCTGCCAGTGAGGATTTTTAAGCACTAAGTTAGTTTACATTGTGGCTGAAAAGCCCCTTAGGGAGAGTTTCAACTTATGTATTTATTGTTATTATTATTATTATTATTATTATTATTATAATTATCTCAAGTTAGTAGAAAATCAAGATAAAGCAATAGCCCATTTCCGAATTACCTATGGCCTCATTTTCAAAACGAGTCCTGGCGCTCATCCTTTCATATGATTATAAGTTTTCATTCACATGCAAATTAAACTCATTTTCACAAGAACGGTTGAGCACCAGGCCTCGTTTTGAAAAAGAGGCCAAGGGTAATTCGGAAATGGGCTATTTAAGTGAATGAGATCTTTTATTTTTAGATGTTATTCCATTAGAGAAGTGACTTTCTTTTGTTCTCATGATTTTAATGTTTCTAATTTGTGTTTCTAAATCTTTGTACAAATATCTTTTAGTAAGTTGCCATATTGTAACAACAGCCCATCTTTCTCTTTGACTTTATTGACCAGCAGAGCCATCAGGGAAAGGGCTGTGTCAGTGGGAAAGGAAGCTACAACATTGAAGCATGTACTAATAAGAATAATTGTACTATCTGTAGCAGTAAGTGCTCAGTAAACTTGTTCAAAAGCATAATTGTGATCAGTGTGGAAGTATATGTCTGGACTTAGAGTCCCATGAGGATTTCTAGGAGATTTAGATAACACTGTCTTAATTGAGGGGTGGAAATCGCTCGACACTGTAGTTTTTGCAGGGCAAGGAATTTAGAAGAAGACTGAGAAATTCTAATGCCTGGCAATTATTATGTCAACAAATCAAGGCTTAACCAACAACTGTCTTCATTTTCAAGACTTGGTCCTAAAGTATGGAATAATCTTCCATGTAGCTTGTGCTAATTGCCTAAAAGGACTTTTAGCAAAAAAGTCCATACACTTTTGTAACTACTCAACAATGAAAACAATCATGACTCTAAAAAAACGATTGTTGATAAAATGACTGCTGGACTTATGGAACTAAAATTATAGCTCCTTCTATATCAATAACCTTCTGTAACCTATTCATACTTTAAAATAATTTTTTTGCTTTGTTGTTACTCATAACCATATACTTATTTAAATCAATTTCACTTCTCTAAATTAACAATATTGTAATCTCCTTATAACTTTTATTTCCAACCTCCTTGATATATTCTAATATTGTCTGCAACCACCCGACTCGATTATTTTGCTACACGTGGGTGGGTATTTCTTTCACTTTTGTATTTATTTCTTTCTTTCTTTCCTAAAGAATAACATTTGTAGTTTTAAAGTGGAGTAAAATCTCAAATACAATGCCTTGTTTAATAACCCCTTTCCTCTACCTCGTCTTCCTTGTTGTCATATTTGTCATCATCATCATCATCATCATCATCTTCTCACTTTTTATTAATGAAAGATGTGACTCTTTAGCATCCTATTGGTATTGTCCCAATGTAACATGGATCTAGAGCTAGATATTTTTCATTTTTGATTGTAGAAAGAGGAGAAAAGAAAGTTAATCTTGGGAATTAGATATTCCCAACATGCTCAAATGAGTACAACCCAAACATGTATTTTTTAATGTGTTTTCACCTGGTTGGGACCTCAAACCTAATGAAGCTCATGATAGAGGTTCTCTGTACCTCAGTGGTTAAGTATTGGACTGTATTTGCCCCGGCACTTGAGGTAAACCTTAATATTATTTTTTTATGTCGCAGGTTTTCTGTCTTATGGCATTCAGAGTATGGATGCTTGGAGGAAATCTACCATATTTTACAGTTCAGGACAATCCTGCCTCATTTTCAGACTCTCTTAGTACTCGCATTATGACTTACTTTTATCTAATTGCATTCAACTCTTGGTTACTTTTGTCGCCAAGTGTGTTGAGCTATGATTGGCAGATGGGAAGCATACCTCTTGTGGAGTCACTGATAGATTCCCGAAACTTAGCCACACTGGTGTTTGTCATGGTAGCAGCTCTTCTGTTTTACTCTGCTGTGTTATCCAATAAGACCCCGGTAATCAGTAATTTCTACCTACATCTGCATTTACCTTCAATCATATTGTAGTTTGATTTAATGTTCCTTTGCCTAGTACTGGTGATCGTAATCTGAGAGTGGGTGATCATTTGAGGCTGAGCAATTTTTTAATTTTCACCAGTTTCAGCAAGTAATAAGTTTATTTTGCAATGAACAATAAATAATAACATAACCTGAAGATGTGTGCCATAGACAGTATATTTAGAGATTGTGAGCTACATGAGAAATAATAAACAATACTCCTCCTGTACACCACAGTTTTTTCTGTGGGGGGGGGGGGGA